CGGCTAATTTTTCTATTTTTTTGTAGAGATGGGGTCTCACTATGTTGTCCAAACTGGACTTGAACTCCTGGGCTCAAGCTATCCTCTTGCCTTGGCCTCCCAAAGTTCTGAGATTACAGATGTGAACCATCATGCCTGGACTGTTTTTTTGTTTTTTGTTTTTTTTAAATCGTAGCCATCTTAGTGAGTATTAAGTGATACTTCGTTTCTGGTTTTGATTGCATTTTGCTAATGACTAGTAATTCTAAGCATCTTTTCATATATTTATTGGCCACTTGTATAATGAAGCATCTTTGGAAAAATGTTTATTCAAATCCTCTGCTCATTTTAAAAATTGAGTCCCTTTTTTAATTGAGTTGTAAGAATTCTTTACATATTCTAGATATGTCTTTTGTCAAATATATGATTTGCAAGCATTTTTTCCCATTCTGTGGATAGTCTTTCACTTTCTTGACAGTGTCATTTGATGCACAAATGTTTTTAATTTTGATAAATCATCTCTTTTTTCTTTTGTGGCTTGTGCTTTATTGGTGTCATACTTAAGAAACAAATGCTTAACCCAAGGTCATGAAGATTTACTCCTTATTGTCTTCTAAGGGTTTTGCGGTTTTAGCTTTTACATTTACAGTCTATGGTCCATTTTGAGTTAATTTTTGTATATAGTACTATATAGAATAGGCAAGGATCTACCCTATTGTTTTCGCATGTGGCTATCCAATTGCCCCAGGCACCATTTGTTAGAAAATACTCTTTCTCCATTTAATTGTCTTGGTACCCTTATCAAAAAAATCAATTGACCATATGGGTCTATTTTGGGACTCTCAATTCTATTCCATACGTCTATAAAACTGCATTTGTCTATCCTTATGTTAATACCACATTGTTTTGAGTAGTGTAGCTTTGGAGTAGGTTTTGAAAATGGGAAGTGTAAATCCTCCAACTTCGTTCTGTTTCAAGATTGTTTGGTTATTCTGGGTCCCTTGTATGTCCATATGAATTTTAGGGTCAGCCTGTCAATTTCAAAACAAAACAAACAAAAATTCATCTGGGGATTTGACTGGGACTGTGCTGAATGTGTAGGTCAATTTAGGGAGTGCTGCTGCCTTCCAGCGTTAGGTCTTCTGATCCAGGACACAGGGTGTCTTTCCTGCAGGGTTTCTTTTTGCAATCTCTCCTCACATGCTGAATTGTTGTTGAACATTATCTACTCCCTGTTCTACTGCTTCACTTCTGTCGTGGTTTGGGAAATGAAATAAACTATGCTGGTAGAACTGTACATCTTTCCAAAAAAGTGAGAACCCCTCCAAAAGCCTGTTACACAGACCCAGTGCACAGAGTTTGTGACAACTACTACAGCTGCTCCGAGATTCTTCTACAATTAGTTTTAAGTGCATAGCTACACTATAGAATTTATCAGAAGTCTGAATGTCTGAATAAATGGGCCAATATCACATAAGAGCTACAGTTTAAATGAGTCTCAGTAATTAAAATGAAAAAGTATATTATTGAGGCCAAGTGGGTAACTAGGATTACTAGTAGACACTGAAGGGACTACATCAGGTCTAGATATAAATTAAAAGTTAAGAGGGTCATAGTAGCTGGAGAGATCTGTCACCCGTGAAGATATACTGCTGACTATGCCACGAACATTGAGTGGTAGGTTTTTCTGGCTGTGGCTGGGAGACACAACTATAGCCTAGGCAGCAGGTGAAGTGTGCTGCAAGCACTGGCAGTCTGTCTTTATCACTAAGCATGGTGTGTTTTTGTTTAGCTGACAATTTTCCCACAGCAAGACTTTCTGCTACAGCGCAGTACAAGTGTGAGGCATGTTTTTCTCTTGTGGGCAGACAGGCTCTGTGAGCAGCACCACTCTAGATAAACCAACTAAAATAGGTGGAATCAAATGACATACCCCTGGACGATTAACATTGTGTTATTACCAACTGGCTACAAAGAAAATGCCAAAACTTACCTTTTGGATTCCATGGCTTTCCAGTATACCAGAAATAGGAGAACACCTGAATGCTGCATAGGTAGCTCTAAAAACATCTCCACTGTCATCCACTCCCTGCACAGTAACCATGCAAAAACATAAACGTCAACAGATCAATTCCACAGGGACGCCATTGCCCCTATCGCTATCCGGGAACCTATTCAGTAGAGGACAAGGAGAGCTCGGTGCATTCCCAGGAGTGGGGCTGCTACCTAAATGAGCCTGCACAGGCCATCATGCTGTCACCACCACATGTGGTGACTGTTATCATCTCCCTGGCTACAGTGATCTTATGATGCTGTTCACAAGGTCAAATTACTGTCCTTAGAGACCCTGAAGACCCCGTTTAATGTGCATTTTAATGTGCTTTGCAATACCAGCTCTTTGTTTCTTTGCAGTAAGTCCAGCCACTATCTTTTGCACACATTTTTTAGTATTACGGCTCAAAACTGTTACCATCATACAAAATACATGGCAAAGAGGCCACAGTGTTCCGAACAACAGAGATGAAAAACCCACCCCATTTGGGCAGGTTAACATTCAATGGCAAAGAGTGCTCAGCCTGTCTCCTGCACCAGCTTCCACGGGCTGGAAACATATAACAGCACTCAGAACATGGGAGAGAAAAACGTGCATGTGCACACACAATCCTCTGTAATAAAATTTGTAAATATTTTTCAAAATAAAGTTATTCCGGATAAAAATCAGGGCTAGAAGACAGAATTAAATGGAACAAGCATACTAAGAGAACTTTACAAGGCCAAAAAAAAGATAAATAAATAAATAAATGTAACGAGCATGTATTTTCACACATATTCTCTAATGTGACTCTCGAAACCACCCTTTGAAAAACTCTGGGCATGTATCATCCCCATCTACAGAGAAAACCAAGCAAACGAATTAGTGGAACAAATAACCAATAATATAACCTATGCTCATACTTAGTTTTTTAAACACCATGCATGAAGTTTAAACATCATGACTCACCTTGACGTAAGGTGGAGCTAGAGATGACAGATGCCACTTGGCGGCAGTGGTGCCATGATTCTCGAGTTCCAGATAGTTCTCTAAAAGGAACACACGTGTCACAACTCAACTCAGAGAGGTCAGTGAACAAGCTGATTCCTGCGACAGGCTCATTACCTCATCGTAGAGGAAAAACAATCATTAGTGCCCTAAAGGACTTCAACAGGAACTACAGTACCAGATATTCCATTTTGGGTTTTATTCTAAGCAAAATGTAAACATATTGAAGGGTGTAAGCAAGGGAGCAGTAAAAGGGTTTACGTTTTAGTTACAGGCTGCTGTGGAAAGAGATTGCAAGGGGTCAAAGTGGGTGGGGGAGCCCAGGTCAGACGTGAGCACGGTAGCTCGGTTGAGAGATGACGTGCAGGTGGCTGCAGCAGGCCTGGACAGCAGCGACAGGGAGGAAAACAAGTGGGTACGTACGGCATCTATCTTGAAGACAGACCCCGAAGGACTTGCTGATGGACTGAATGGGAGGAAGAACAGAAATTAAAGTAACAACCAACAGGTAGACAGTGGTGCCACTTATTTACAAGGGTGAGAACAGAGGAGAAGCAGGTCCTGGCACGTCATGCTTGATGTGCTTGTGAGACGCCCACATGCAGAAGCCAATGGGCACTGGGGTGTGCTGCCTGGGCACAAGCACAGGGGCAGTCATCAGAGTCACAGGCCACAGTGACCACTCAGGGAACACAGACGGAAGGAAGGGCACAGGTAGGGCCAGGGCCACGCCAGGCTTTAGAAGGCAGGAAGAAGAGTCAGCAAAGGAACCTGAGAAGGAGCAAGTGAGGCAGGAAAACACTAGGAGTGTTGGTACCATAGAAACTGCAAGAAGGATGGTTCTGAGGAAGGAGTGGTCGACAGTGCTGAGAGGTCAAATAAACCAAAACATGTAAAAAGGACCCTGGATTTGGCAAAATGGAGCTCTTCGGTGACCTCGATGGGAGCAGGTTCCGGGCATGGCAGTGACGGCAGCTCCAGGCCTGGGAGCGGAACACTTTCACGTGAGGTGTTGGAGTTGAGAAAGGGGCAGCTGCAGGAAGGGGACCTGGGGCCAAGGAAGCTGCTGCTTAAACCAGTGATGGTGGAGCATACTGTGTGCTGATAGAAACGTATCAACAAAGAGGGAGACGGATACCCCAATTACCCTGATTTAATTAATTCTTATCGTACGCCTGTATCAAAACATCATACTGGCCGGGTGCAGTGGCTCGCGCCTGTAATCCTAGTACTCTGGGAGGCCAAGGCAGAAGGATCTCTTGAGCTCAGGCATTTGAGACCAGCCTGAGCAAGAGCGAGACCCATCTCTACAAAAAATAGGAAAATTAGCCGAGTGTCGGGGTGTGTTCCTGTAGTCCCAGCTACTAGGGAGGCTGAGGCAGAAGCATCGCTTGAGCCCAGGAATTTCGGGTTGTAGTGAGCTAGGCTGACGCCACGCACTCTACCCCAGGACACAGAGTGAGACCCTGGCTCAAAATCAAAACAAAACAAAACAAATCACACTTACCCTATACAACTACTATGTACCCATAATAATTAAAAATGTAAAATCTAAAATAAAAAAATAAAACAAAAACAAAAGAGGGAGAACTGATGACCCAAGAGAGAACAGCGATCAGAGGAAGTCCTCGAGAGGCAGGAGTGGACGGGCCTAGGTTCCAAGCAGAGGGGTTAGTCTGTGATGTAAACAGAAACCTTTCATTCGGTCTCAAGACCTCTCTACTTCCCATGTGTGAGGCAAAGTCGAGGGTTAGGAAGAGAGAACAGGAGCAGGGAAGGAGGACAGGAGCGCCCAGAGGAAAGAAGGGACAATCGGCTGCTGGGGAGGGCTGTGGAACACACCGAGGAGCTCTGGCAGAAAAACCTCGTGCTGAGGGGCACCGTGTCCACCCGCAGGACCGATGGTCCCAAATCTTTCCTAATAAGCCCCACAACACTGCTCGTTCAGCCTGAGCCAGCAGTGACAGACACAGACAGGCATAGAAAAGACATTTCAATTTTGACCTTTTCCAGGCTAGTGATATGTGGTGCATACTCTGTGGTGATGCTGGTACTCCTCAGGCCTTGGGGGAGTATCAGCACTGCAGAATGCCCACTCAGGAACATGTATATATATTAGTGAACACAGGTGCTCCTCAACTTATGAGGGGTTATGTCCCAATAAATCCATCCTAAGACGAAAATATCACACGTCAAAAATGCATTTAATACATCTAACTTGCTGAACATCACACCTTAGCCCAGCCTAACTTAACACATTAACTGCCTTGTGAGTTGTATTTAACTCACGCTAGTTTTGAGCCCGGGGCCTTATAAAACATATGTAACTCACATGTCTCTTCACGTTCGGAGCTGCAAGAACTATTTTTCAAGGTGCATATAACTCACACACAGAAAACAATAAAAAATAACAATTTTTTCATTAAATTAGAAAGGATCATTTTGTTTTTGAAGTTTTATCGTAAGAAAACACTGTGGCCCCATGGAAAAAAATTTTTTTCTAGTACGGCAATGTGTTAAACATGCTAAGAACACTCACATTAGCCTACAGCTGGGCAAAATCCTCTAACACAAAGCCTGTTTTATAACAAAGTGCCGACTATCTCATGTACTTTATGGAACACAGTGCAGGCTGTTCACCCCCGTGGCTGACCAGGGGCCACCGCTCGCCGCCACCCAGCATCACAAGACAGTATCGCGCCACATACCGCTAGCCTGGGAAAAGGTCAACATTCAAATTCAAAGTACAATTTCTACTGAATGTATATTGCTTTCACACGACCATAAAGTCAAAAATCTTAAGTCAAACCATCATTAAGTTGAGGACTATCTGTATATTAACTGTTGAATTTACCCTCAAAGCCCTCTGTGGAAGGTGTTAATTCTAATGGCCATTTTACAAACTGGGAAACTGAGCCAGTCCATTTAACCTCTCTAGAGCCTCTAAGTCACATTAGTAAGTGACAAAGCAAGGCTCCATCCACCCACTTTCCTCTCTCCTTTATCTACTAACTCACTAACAATTCTGGTCAAAGACCTGCGAGAGCTGGGGAGGGATGGTGCTGACCACCAAATAAAATCTAAGATTGCTGGAACACACACAGTTATTAAACGCCAAGCTTTAATGCTGTAAGATTAAGTCTCAAATCCAGCCCATCACCGAAATGATTGCTAATGATGACTTGATTTTTCTCCTCAAGTAGGGAGAAAAATTTGTACTTATCACTAATTTATGGTCAGCTAAGAATAGAGTATTAGCCTCAGCAGACATTAGAATTACATAATTTTGTGATATAATACCTGAAGTTTTACCAGGTTCTGTTGTAGGAAAAGTAACAGTCTTATTTCTTATTTCAACTTTTGTGGAAGGTGGTTTTGTCATTGGTTTTGTCAAATGACTAACTGAAGGCTCAGATACTGGGGGAAGAATCCCGAAAGGTTTGGAGGCCAAACGAGTTAAAAGTTCTTCTTGAGTCAAATCTTCTCGAACTTGAACTTTTACAATTTTCTGAAATGAAACAAATAAAGGAAAAAGACACAAATGTAGCTATCATTTTAAAAGAAACAATTCCTATTTTTAAATTATAATAGAGAAAAGAAAAGCCAAACAAATGAAACACTAAGGAATTTAGAAATTAAAGTTTATTCAGATGTCAAACACAGTCAATCTCTGACTCTACCTACCTCCCCTCCCCCATCACCTTTTTTTGAAAGTAAATTTTACAAATGAGCAATGGCCCCACTCTGCACCCACCCCTATCCCTCAACAGAACCATTCTGATCACTATGGAAGAATTCAGTACTAAATGCTCTAATGAAATAAACCTAGTCAGGCTCAAAAGGACAAATATAGTCACCCCTCAGTATCCATGGAGGATCGGTTCCAGGACCCCCAAGGACACTAAAAGCCATGGATGCTCAAGTCCCTCATATAAAATGCTATATAGCACTTGCATATAAACTACACACATCCTCCCATAGGCTCTAAATCATCTCTAGATTATTTATGGTACCTAATACAATGTAAATGCTAGGTATGTATTTATTATTTTTCCCCCAAATACTGGGTTAGTTGGTTGAATCCGAGCATGCGGAACCCATGGATACAGAAGGCCATTATACCTTCATATGATTTCTGGAATGTAAGTGCTAACGAGAATTATGAAACTGAAGCTACAAAATAAGAGATATGTTGCTCAAAAAAAGAAAAACAACAGTTTTAAAAGTACCTTCTGTCCATTGTCACAGTGTACATAAATCAAACCACTCCACGGGAACACTGACTGTTTTGTGGATAAGGAGGAATTAGGACTCACAAGAATTTGTAGTTTACTCCTTAAAAAAAAATTTAATAATGAAAATCAAAAATATTCTGTACTTTAATAGCAGTAATCATAAGAGTCATAAATACCTTCTGCCAACGACCAACTATGTCCTTATTGTTCGGAGAGAGCAGGAGCGGAGGTCAGCACCCACGGTGCCAACACACAGCTCATCTGCCTCTCTCCCTGACTCAACAGCTAAGGAAGCGCTGCCTGGCACGAACCCACGCCCAGGGGCAAAACTCATGTGCAAATAAGCCACGCCACAGAAATACCATTTTCAAGGCAATTCAAAATAAAAATTTGATCCACTTGATAATAAAGAATATTATAAAACAGTCACAGTCAAAGAGAATGTATTAATAGTAGTTGGGGAAGAAGCTGGAGGAAAAGGAGCGGGAGACGGAAAAGAAATGAAGAAAATAATTTGTTTCTTTACAACCCAGTTGCTAATATTTTCTCTGCTCAGTGTTCTCCTCAAGAGCCACGGGAAGCCAAAGACAGGTTTAAAATGGACAATGTGATCAGATTTGTAACTTAAAAGAAATCACCAGCTACAAAAATGGCAGGGCAAGATTTTTTACCACTGCTAATTGTTAAACACGTGGGGCTGCAGAAAAAGTTACTTGTGAAAAACCTGTTCTGTTATCTCCCTATCTTTTCAAACATTAGTTGAGAAGGGTACGTTGCACGTAATAAACACTCAGATTTTAACTGATGGCTCCAGAGTGTCCCTCACCATACCTTAGCTCATAGTCTTGGTCAAGTAAACTCCCCTAAGTAAACTCCCACTCATCATTCTGTTGTCCTTCTGCAAAGTTGCTAATCCCAAATATGAAGGAGCTTCCAGACGTGAGAGTTGTGTCGACCTAGACGAGGTCTCTGAAAAGCTGTGGCGCTGTGGCTTCCCTCCTATCAACCACTAGGCTGTGTGCAGAGGGCAGCTATGTATAAATGGCTGGCACCAAGAGACTTCCTTCTGTCTTAAAATACTATGTGTAGAAAATGGTAAAACTGGATTATGGCTTGGACATATTAAAAGTCAGGGAGCTTTGTCTGAAAAAAATGTCCTTTGGACACACCAGCAGAATATACGATCCAAACCAAGATAAAGAACAGTAGAACTGTTGAGACTTTAGACACATCATGGTCCCTATCCCTCAACACATGCCCAGTTTTATCCCTGCTTCGTAGTTCTGTGGGCAGAGTACTACACATACAACATTCTGACGTGTTCTGCTCCAGGGACTCTGTTCTGCCTCTACCTTCTTAGGTTACACCATAATTGGCCGTGTGTATGACCTCTACTCCACTAAATGGCACGCACCCTGAGCTCACTGCTGTCCTGCAGAACCAAGCAAATGCTTTGTACAGTCAGCACATGCAAAATTTTACCGAGAAAGTTAATATAACATATTATGTGACCCATAGAAAGTCACCAAGATAGCATCTAAACAACACTCAGAAGAACACAGAAATCATACTTACTCTGGTGCAACAAATCCATGTTGTGGTGTGACTGTAAGACAATGTGCTGGCCAGCACAGCTCAAATTTCAGCAACCTAGCAGAATTATTTACAATCTGGAAACACGCAGTTTTTGCCATGTCGCCTGTTATACCAGACAAATAAAATGTTATTTACATTTAGCAACAGTGAAAAACACAAATGTTAACAAATGATAAAAATGAATCCTAAATAAATACACTAGTATGCTAACTTATGTTGCTCTCCCAATTGCTCAATTACAGGAATTTCAAATCCCTGGTAAAGCAAGTCCATTGGTTTACTATGGGAAACTACAAAGATACCGACAATCTTGAACGAAGTTAGGGAAAAATGAGAATCTGGAAATTGTTACCCCCTGGCCTTAACTGTGGCACATGTGTGTGTATCAGATTCGTTCCAACCCTGAACCAACTCTATTAGTGTTAAGGGTACTAAGAGGCCAAGTGCTGAATGAGCTCTTTGGGACCCTGGCTGAGCAGGGTGGCCTCACGACAAGGGTGAGCTCCGGCGGGGGGAGCAGGCCCTGGGCGAGGCACGAGTCCACACAATTCCCACGGGAGCCGCAGGAACAGGGTGAGTGCTCCCGGCCCCCAGCACACAGTCTGCGGTGCCGCTGTCAATATACTCACAAGGAGAAGGAGCTACCAAAATCAGGTGTTCAGGCTGGACGGTCCACATCTCTCCAGAGGCTGATTTATCCTGAGGGGGGTGAGCAGCTTGTGAGAGAAGAGAACCTTGAGGACCTCTAACTGGTAAAACATCCAAAGAGACATTGCCACTATGTTTTCCAGAAGTTCTTGAGTCACTAGAAAAATTTAAAAATGGAAGTCAGAGAGAAAGAGACAGAGAAAAGAAATTAAAAATGATCAAAGTGCAGACTGTGTCACATTTTTATATTAATTCTTCATAAATCTAAAAACATTAAGACAAAACTAGAAGTGCATTATATACCATGTATTTTCAGTGAATAAAAATCCTTCATGTTGTGGATACTAAAAGAGTATATAAAATATACAGTATAGGTCAAATAGTATGATAAACTTTAATTAGGTTTAAGAAAATTTAATCAGGAAGAAAATTTAATTTAGTTAGGT